TATCATCTTATAATTATATTAATTTAATAAAAAAAATATTCTCCCAAAGTTACATACTTTTCAAAGAATTGGGTGTATTAATTTTTATCTTTGAAATTTTAAGATAAAATTATTTTGAAAATATATGATTTTTTAACTTTTATAATTATATGAGAATATTTTTTTAGAAAAGTATATTTCTTTTGAATATAATGCTAAAATTCATCCTTAATGTATTTTTGGAGCACTTTAATCTTTAATATTTTATTTTATCCTAGATTGGATAAAAATTAATAGTTGACTAACTATCAATATTTTTTGTTGGAGTGACATGTGGCATATCATCATTTATATATACATATGACGTGTGTCATACTATCATTTTAAACATGTGATATGTGACATATCAACACTTATGTACATGTTATGTGTTATGCTATCACTTTAGAAACATATGAAGACTTGTCGCATTAGTAAAAAAAACGTTGATCGTTAGTTAATTATTGACCAATAGAGAGTCATTTTACACCAAAATAAAACAATGGGGATGAAAGTGCTCCAGAAAAGAATAAAATTCAAGGTGACTATTTAGTAAAATGTTTAGGAATATTTTCTTGTTATAAATCCTTCTTTTTATGATATTTATAAATCCTTCTTTTTATAAATCCTTCTTTTTAGAGTCATTTTATTTATTTTTATTATTTATGATTTCTATGTTTATAATAATTCATTATTTTTTCAAGTATGATATTAAATCATCATAAATATAGTCTATTTGCACATATATTATTCTATGTTAATTGTATATTTTATCTTTTAACTGCTTATAAATTCCTAACGGGATGGTTTCGACATTGTACCATAAAAATATTTGATCACATTATTTTATAAATTTGTATAATGGATTGATATGGTATTTGTTGAATATATGAGGGATGTATGCAATCTCGTTACTACATGCATCTGTTTGACATTTATGGAGTTTATAATTACGCAAAAATCAATATAAAAGGGAACTAATGTTGTCCTAAGTGTTTTCAGAAACGATCGATTTGTTTAGCTTTTTCCTCTTGTTCCCCAAATACAAAGAGAAATACAAGTTTACTTAAGATATTTAAGAACTATAAACCGAATTACACATAACAAGTCAATGTCCGGAAAAATTTGAATTTATACATTATTAGAACTAAATATTTTATCATCAATTCGGTTTGAGTCCGATAAGTTAGAATTAGGGATGAATATTTGATCCAAATTTGATAGATTTTGATATAATTGACTTGATCATATCAGTCTTTTATAAAAAAAAATCAATTCAAGTTGGAAGAGGATTGTTTTTGGAAAGATGGTGTCATATTAGATAAGGTTGGAGATAGGGTAAAAAAAGTCCGACTTGATATAATATTATAATTATTCCTTATATATTTAGAGATAATTTCTCCTTTTAATATATATATTTCAATTAGATCCTTGTTTTAATTAATAGAAATAAATTATATATATATAGGATGATTCTTCCACGTTCGACGATCACCGCTGAGCACCACTAACGATGAGCACCATTAATTTAATTTATAAAAATTTAAAATTTTAAAGGACTCAAAGTATAATTATAAATTAGTTAAAAATTTAAAGGTAAATTAGTTAAAAATAAAATATTTATTATATTATTTTCCATAATATTTTTGGGTAAACTATATCAGTGATCACCTAACTATTGTCCCTTTTCATTTCGACCACCATTTTTGAAATTTTTGAAAAAATTTCAATCAGGTCATTAAATTATTTAAATGTATTTAATCAAACCACTTTCCATTAACAATTAATGGAAGTGTTGACGCGGTTAATAAAATTTGTATAATTATACGTTTAATTCTTATTGCTTACACAAGCTACCAAATTGGTCATAATTTTAAATTAATTCAATATATTTTATCCTCCAATCAAACAATTTCAAAATATTTTATATTGTAATATTAACAAATGATACACATATAATTATAATTTGATGATTTTGTCATGTCAATTGTCTAATGACTAAATAGATTTTAAAAAATAAAATTTTTATTTGAATAATATCAATTAATTGTTAGAAGTTCATCAATGATAAACAAACAATATTTTACTTACTTTTTTAAGAAAAATTTAAAATATATCTTAATAAACATCAAAATTGTAACTCAGTCTATATGAGACGTATAAATATAGATATAGATATAAAACAATATTAAATAAAAAAATCAAAACAATAGAGAATATTATAAGTATTGTTACTCGAAAAAACACCACGTGAAACATTTTTTATTGTATACATATTGATATTAACAACTGCAAAATCATCTTAAACATGTTTCATTGTTGATCCATCGATTTTCTTTTTTTATTTCCCTTATTTATTTTAAATCATCAAATTATAATTAAAAAATGTGAAGTTATATGATTGGAGGATAATTCTTTGTGTATCATTTGTTAATATTTCAATATAAAAGATTTGAAGTTATGTGATTGGAGGATAAAATATATTGAATTAATTTCCAAATATGACCAATTTTATAGATTGTGTAAGTAATAATGACTAAATGTGTAATTATACAGATTTTACTGTCACGTCAACACTTCTGTTAATTATTAATGACTAGTGGCTTGATTGAATGCATTTAAATAGTTTAGTGATTTGATTGACAAAATTTCATAAATATTGGTAAAAATAAAAAAGGGTAATAGTTAGGTGGTCACTCTTATAGTCTATCCAAAAAAGACAATGAAAAATAATATAATAAATATTTTTATTTTAACTAATTTACTTTTAAAATTTTAACTAATTTATAATTATAAGTCCTTAAAATTTTAAATTCGTATAAATTAAATTAATGTTATTTATCGTTAGTGGTGCTCAACGATACTCGTTGAGTGTCGTAGAATTTTTCGTGTGTGTGTGTTAAATTAGGTCGAATTTTCACTTTAAAAATTGGGTAGGATGAAACTTATTATTAAAATCTCTTAGATCCAAATTCTCATTTACTTGATAAGGAAATACATTTCAAATTTCAAACTTTTGATGTCCTTCTAACCTGTTTTAAAAACACAACTTTTCTTGATCAATTTCACGAACTCGTATATACTCCCTAAAAAGAAAAATAAAAGACCTAATAATTCAAATATTTAGAAAATATACTAAATGAACCCCTCTATGAAATGTGACACAGATATTTAATAGGTTTAAGGTCCCGTAATGCACCTATGGAACTTGGGGCAGAGTTACACCGTAAAGAAACTCGACAAAAACGTTACTATTGTTCCCTTAAAGAAGAAGCTTCCTTTGCTTGCAAAAGTAGGATTTGAATTTTATTTATCATTATTTTCACATTATAACAGAGCTAAAATTCAATTTTTCTAAACAATTTTCCTTTGTTGTTTATTCACATTTATATAATATAACAAAATTGTACTGTATGTCTTTTTTTTTTACTTTTCAAAAATGTGTTTTTTTTTTTAATTATGGGTTTTTTCTTAGGTTATTGGCTGTTTGCATGTGACTTTTTACGTGGCCAAGGAAGCTTCCCCAGTCGCCAATGTCCTTAGGACCTGAAACTAAGTTTTCAGATGTGAAATGGACATATGAAACTGCACTGCACTTTGAGGTGGCCGTTTGTTGATTGCTGATGACCGTCATAATAAATTAAGATTCTCCTAATGTCGTAGGCTGATATCAAATTGATTGGATTTTCATTGATAAAATATATTTTTGTAGAATTTATAATTCAGTAGGATATGACATTAAATTAAACTGATTCTAGGGGATATAACGGAGAATTTTTTTTTTTTTTTGAGTGGAGGATACAACAGAAGATTGAGCGACTGCGGAGGATATGACAGACAATTTTGGGGAAAACAAAAAATATTTAACAATGAAAAGATAATTTATTATACTGCAAAATGATAGATTACAATGAATCTCAATTTTTCCTATTTATATAACTTCACAACTAGTCTATTCGCTTATCTAACTACCGCTAACTAACGTAACAAATTAACTAATTAATTACTTCTCAACACTTGCCTCAAGTTGGAGGGTGATATACATCTTTTACACCTAACTTGGATGACAAGTATTTATGCCAAAGGCCTTTGGTTAGTATATTTGCCTATTGATCATTTGTTGGGACATGATCCCTTTTGAATATTTTCTCCAATAAAATGATAATTTATCTCTATATATTTTATACGTTCATGATAAATTCAATTAGTTACAATCTACAATGATGTTTGACTATTGCATAACGCCATGCTGGACCATCATGTTTAATTTCTACTTCACTTATCAATCTTTTTAATCACGCTAACTCATCTATTGTTACAACCATCCCCTTATACTCGGATTCCACCGACGATCTCGACATAACATTCTACTTCTTTGCATTTCAACATACCGACCAATCCTCCACCTTAATACAGTAACATGTTATTGATCTCATCGTCATAAGACAAGATGTTCAATCAGAACCACAAAATGCATTCAATTGAGGCTTGCTACTTCTTGCAAGGAATATGCCTTAACCTAGACTTCTCCGGATATACCTTAAAACTTGAAGAGCTGCAGTGCAACTTCTTGGGCATTTGCATGGACAAGATCATGTGTGTTGGAAAACATATGTTATGTTTGGTGAGTGCAGTGATGGAGCCATGTAGGCCTCGGGGGCCCACTGCCCCCCTCCCCCCAAAAAACAATTTTTTTACCATTAAAAAAATAGGGATAAATAGCAATTTAGACCGTTAAATTTTGATTTATTTTGATTTTACTCTCCATTTTCTATTGTTAATCATACTTTGCCCCTGAACTAAAATTCTGGTTCCGTCCATGGTCGAGTGTTTGTTCAATTAGTTGTTGGTACACCCTAACATCTTTAAGGATTTAATGATCTTGTGTTAAAGTCTTAGTAGTTTCATCATACTCTATTGTAGTAAGCTTTTGATTTTGTTCTAGTGGGGTTGACGCGTATCGTGCTCCCTCTAAACCTGAATCAACTACAAGTTCCAAAACCCTCTAGATGCTGATCACCTTGTAAGAGAGAATTATACATAACCATTTGGAATATAGGACAATCAAACATAGCAGCTAAAGCAATGATTGTCCGAACGGTCACTGCTTTGCCACCAAAGAAAATTTATCTTAGTAATAAAGAATTGTTGTTATTACTTAAGGTCTCGAGTTTGAGCGCCAAGAATGTCATAGGTATAAACATTTAATGTCAAATGATTAAAAATTATCTTTAAACATACACTACCTTATATTTACCCATATTAATAAAAAATTGTTTTATATTACCAACATGCTTCAACTCGATGATCAACAACTTAAATTAGAAGGTGACTGTCAAATAAAATTGTGCGCTTTATATGAGCATATACACTTTTTAAATTCTTTTTTATATATATTTGAAAGACACAATCGAATCTCATACACGTTTTATGCTTACAAAGAACATAAATATTGAAGTTAAAATTCTTAAAAGAGGAAATAGAGATCACATGTTTTAAAGTGTTTTGAGTACGCTATACAGAATGAAATTAAACAAAATAATGAACAGTAATTTAATTTTGAAGCTACATGTTCTTTTTCTTTTTTTCCACATATGTTCAAAAAAGAAAGGGAAAAAAGAATATCACTTGACAATGTATATTTTATATACTTGTTGTCCTTTTATCGAATGAAAATTCTTTCAGCCCGATATTAATCTCATGTTGTGGAAATCTACATTGTTCACTCAAGCTTGATTCATTTACATCTTTATCAACGTACTCTACTTGATCTTGTTCCACTACGTCAATATGACAGTGAGACGTAGATGAACCGTCAATGTTCGAACCCATCTGGCCATAGCAGAAAAATGAAATAAGATTACATAATAAAGTAATTAAAAAATAATAATTTGGAACCTTGAAAAATAAAATAGATCAATGTGCGTTACCTGTGTAACGAGGGCGTAAAGAGGGAGTGTGACGTAGCTGCAAAGAATTTGAATGAGAACCCTAATAACAAAACAAATACAAGGATTAGAGTTTGAAATTGGAAAAGAAGTTATAACTGAAATTTTAATCTACGAAGAAATGAATTAATTTCCAAAACCCTGACTTCGATTAAGACTAAATATATATTTTGATACGTGAATTTGGATTCAGTGTCGATTTAGTATCCAAGTTCTTTGTAGTTTAATTACGTATCTGAATCTGACTTAAAGGTTTAATTTGGTACTTGAGATTTTCTTTCTTTCTTCTTAAAATTCATACTTTAACTTGACTTCTTGGTTCAAATATATTTATGATTTTATCAATTTGAACCAAGTCGAGTTCATAGGCTTATTTAAACAAAACAAATCTAAGCTAAGGTACATAATTGGAAAAAAAACGTTGAGATACCAAACTGAACCTTGAAGTCAAGTTCAGGTACTTAATTAGATAAAAAAATTGAGAAAGTTACAAAATGGTCACTAAATTATATCAGAATAGTCTTTTGGTCACTAAATTTTCAAAAGCTAGAAAATAGTCATTAAACCTCCCAAATAGTTACAGAATAATCATTAAACTTTATCAAAGTATTACAAAATGATCATTAAACTTGTCAAATTAGTACAAAAGGGTCCTTAAACTCATCAAAATTTATCACTATTTTATAACATATAGCGACCATTTTGCAATAGTTTGATGAATTTAATTATCATTTTCTAACTTCTAAAAGTTCAGTGACTAAAAAGATCACTTCAATATAGTTTAGTGACCATTTATGTATGTGCCCAAAAAACTAAGATACCGAATTAAATCGTGAAACCAAATTTAAATACCAAAATATATACTAATCCGTTGGATTAACTAACAATTTCAGGTAGTCGAAAACGAGGGATGAGATAGTTTAGAGTGTTTTACCCCATTGAAATTCTGATGACAACATCTTCCACATGCTCATGGAAGCAAGATTTCAATCCAAATTCATACTGCATTTCATAAAAAAGACAAATAAATTTCATTACAAAATCCAATCCAAAACAACGAATAAAGTTCGTAAAGAAACGTACCCAAGTCCATGCAAAGAATGCAAGCTGGAAAGCATTCTGAAAACCGGGTGAAAAAAAATGTAAGCAGCAGATCATTTTTGGAGCCTTCAACAACAATAATAATAAATACCTGAAAAAGAACGAAGTTGATAAGATAGAGAATGAGCCGAGGGCGGTTGAACCAGAAAAGGTCATCCCCGGGTTGAACCACCGGCACTCCTTTCACCACTTCTCCTCTCTCATGTATTCTTAGACCCATCTTTGTTATGATCACCTGTAGCTTTGTTCCCACTAGCAGTATGACCTGCATGTTCCCCCCCCCCCAAATCACAGCCGTTAATCTATTCAATTCTATCCCAACTATCGCTATATGCTAATCACATACCATATTAATAAAATCGTTAGGTCAAGCCATATTATTATATGTTGAAAAAAACATAATTTAGATTAACTATGGTTGAAACTAATTGTATATTTGGATGTATTCGAGGTTGAAATAGGATGATTCAAAAGTTTGAGGATCAATTTAGAATGAGGTCATAGTTTGGAAATGAAATTGGAACATTCAGAAGTATAAAGACTAATTTAAAATGAGAATCATAGTTTGAGGATGTAATTGGAAGATTTGAAAGTATGAATACTAATTTAAAATAAGAATCATAATTTAAGGATGTGTGATGTAATTTAATTATTGTAAAAAATAAGGTAGAAGAGAGTAGTTTATTATGCTTACAATCAATGGAATAAATGGCATCCACAAATAGGAATACCACCCTGTATCATAAAAGTACATTTGAGTCAATTATATATAGTATATGAAATATAATGAAAAATGGAAAAGAATATAATTTACCCACCATGAGTGTTAAAGAGTAGAAAGAGAACAGCCAAAAACCATATTGGAGGACTGTGAAATTCATGGATAAGAAAAAGATATTAATTTTATATAAAAGAATAAGGAGAAACGAAAATAGCTGAAATTAATTAATTACCTAATGCCCACAACAACATTGAAATCTTCTTCCAATGATCTGTTAATATATTTTTGAAAATCAAATTTGGTTTCGCTGTTGGGTGCCAAGTGTGCCTGAAAATATATAATGCCTAAAACTATTGAAAATTTAATTAATTAATAATAATTAAATTTTAAAAAATATAATAATTACCATAATAAATCCATGTCGGAGAGTTAAATAATCAACTTTCGGAACTGATCTCACAAACTGTCTAAAGAAACAAACCTGGAAAAATATAAAAATAAAAGGTCAAAGGGTTGCAAATTTGTGGATTGTTTTGGACATAATGGGATGGCTTTTCCATGTGATCCTTGTCTAAAAAGGCAGTTAACGACTGTAATTTGCAAGTAGACAAAAGAAATATTAAAAATCAGTGATCGATAATTAATTATATTTTCAATTTATACAAGATGCAAATTAAAAAATATAGAATATTTAAATAAATTCTAATAAAAATAAACTTACAATCCACATGAGAACCGGGTTTTTGGTCCAAAAGCTAAGATGCCTTCTTCCAAATGATGTTTCTCTGGTAAATCTGAACCGTTCCGGATCTGTCACAAACCAAAATCATTTCATATCTAATCATTTTCATAAATTATTAACTTTATAACAATAAATAACATTAATCACTTATATCAATTGTTCAAAGATAATAAAATATACGTGCATGCGTAATCCATGGAACACGTTTCCAGTATATTATAACGATAAATCAAATTAAATATTCGGTTATATTTATTTATAGTTTGCACTAACCATGTGAGAACTGATATTCGATTGTTCTCGTTTCCTTTTCCCATCTCTTCCAACTTCTCATCTAAAAAGGATCAGATCATTTATGCATTAAAAAATGAACTCGAACAATATTATTCTCAATAACGAATACACATATATTAATGACATAAAATTTATGTCCGGTATACCTTAGCTCGACCCAATGCGAGTGTAAGAACACAGTAAAGGACATGGAATAGAGCTAGCACGAAGATAAAAATGTGAAGGTGGTGGATTCCATCAGATGAAACAAATGGTACTTTACCCTGGGACATTACTCAATTTATGTAAGCTTGTGTAAAAAATGTCGGTTCTACCAATTTCAATTCGGTCGTATTACCTGAGGTGCACATTTAGTCTCCGACGATGCTCAGTATCGGTGTTATCTTCATGACCAGGTTCATTAATCGACTTCTTTTGTTTCTTATTGCATGGATGCCAAGTAGCTGCAATTTCCTTTGATATGCAGATATCTGATATTAGGCCTTGTCCTACTGTTAGAAGCAAGGATATAAATCCCAGCAACATAAGCTCTACACATACAACAAAAACCAATACATATCAGTTTCTTTTTGTCTAAATTAACAAAAATTCATTAAAATAAACTAGTTTACCTGATTTGATCTTTTCCAGTGCTTCATACAGTGCTCGTTTATGGTTCTTCCTCAACCACTGCAAAAAAATAATATTAATATTAAAAAATTGCAGATTTGAAGTTTAAATTTCCATTAGAGGACCTAAAAGATCAGCTTTAAAGAATTTGAAAATTTTAAAGACAGCAGTTTTCGTCAGTCCGTCGATTCATCCCTGAAAACATACCTTTCCGATCATATGGATCACCTGTTCAATGATGACTGAAATCAAAACCAGAACAAAGCAAACAACAGCAACAGCCCATGTTGGTGTTTCCTCAAGAGATCTTCCTCCACTAGCTCCAGCCATAATAGTTTTGGAAAGAAAGAAGATATGAAGTAAATAGAGATAGTTCAATATATATATATAGAGAGAGAGAGAGAGGAAGGGAAAGGAAATGTGAACAGGGATGATTCAACCCAGTGGGGTGTAAAGCTTTGAATGTTATGAAGAGACTTCAATGAAAATTTGGTAGTTGTTTTCTTTTATTAAAAAAATGTAGAGTACATTAATGGTGTCGATTATATAGCGTTGTTTTGTTGAGTTTCTATCTATAAAATATTTGTTGAGTCTCTGATTATTAAAAATTATGAAAATAGTTATTTGACTATTCATATAAACTCATTTTTTTTTAAAATTGACAAAAGTCTGAATTGAAAATTAACATGTTAATTGAGATATAATAAAATTTAATCTCAAAATCTTAAACGACTATCATATCCTAATTAATATGTAATGTCCAACTTAAACTACCGTAAATCTTTTTAACAGAAAATGACAATTTTGGAATATATAAATAATAATGTGATCATTTTGTAATTTTTAAATTGGAGATTTAACAAAACAACTTATAGTCAAAAGATCATTTTATAACTTTTAATAATAGAGAAACTTAAGAAAATAATATATTATAATTAAGGGATCATTTGTATTTTTTAATTTATTAAAAAATGGAGATTAAAGAATTTTTTTTTGGTGGGGGGTTGACTTTGTGAACGCGTAGGGGGCAAATGAAAGGGAAGATAGAAATAAATAATAGAGGCATGAGTCATCATCTTATCAAATAATGCAAACCCCAGATGATTACTCACCTATGTTTGCCTGATCTTCTTTCTGTCCAAATGCCAGAACTATTTGTATGATATTATTGGGTAAAATTGACTCGTACTATATTTTTCAAGTTGGTTTTGACATCCAGCGGTGGAATGGAACTCAACAGTACTTTATGAGGGATTATTTTGAAAGAATAGTATGTATTAATTAAAATATTTTAATATTTTTATCAATTTAAATTATATATCAAAATACTATACTAATATTTTTTTTATAAATTTATTAAATTTATTTTTTCACATTAAAGTTTAAAGAAACAAACAAATTAATAATAGTATTATTTATTATTGTGTCCAAAATTTACTTTTTAAAGATGAAATTTCATGAAACCGCGTAATAAATATAGATATTTAAAATAAAATCATAAATATAAGTTATACTGAAAATATTTTAAAAATTACCTTTAACTGAAATTAAATTAAAAGTTTAAATATTATGTTAAAGTCAGCAATTAAAAAAAACTAAACAGAAAAAATGCAAAGATTTTTTTATCTTTAAAACATAAATAAAGAAGAAATATATATTTAAATATAAATAAAGAAGAAAAATATATTTTCATTCATTTAAAATAAAATAATAATAATAATAATAATAAATTTTAACTTTTTTAATCAATAATATTTAATTGATTTCTAAATTTCAAAATAGTATACACATTTTGTGAGATATATTACACACGTTTTTTAAGGGGTCAAATTTAAGAATCTAGTAATATATAGTAGTATAAACTACACGTTTAGTATTTAAATTATTGCTTTTGTTTCGTTTTAAAATTTGAACTTTATTTTTTAAAATCATACCTAACATTTAGTTTAGGTTTCAATTTGGTGATGTTATATTTTTCAATGACAACATGACATTATCTTATGCTGATACATCAATATCATCTTTAAATTTTTTAATTGTAGGATACAAAAATGAAATTTAAACTAAACTTTAGGTATGATTTGTAAAAAATAAATAAAATTTAGCTACTAAAATGAAATAAAAGTAATAGATTAGGTACTAAATATGTAGTTTACCCTATATATTATATGTATATAAATATATGTATTTTATTTTTTTTAGTAATTTTTTGGGGGGCATGGCCCCCACTAGCCCTTTAGGCGTTCTGCCACGGTTGACATCAAAGTCTACTTGTATGAAAACAAAATTTTTATTTTAATAATTAAATTATAAAATTTTAAATTATTTAGATATACTTATGTATAATTATCTTAATTCTATTTGTCATATTTAATAATAGAAATTATAAAATCTATAATATCCTCTTTCTCTATATTTTCTTAATTAGGTCCCTATTTCACCTAAAAATATCGTGTTGAGTTGGATACAAATTTTTACCTTTAAAATTGAGATTGAGTCGAGTTTATGTGGAAGGAATATATTCCTTGGATCGGGTCGGTAGAGAGTGTATGCTTTTCAATTCAAATCAAATTCGAATGGAAGGTATATGTTTCTCGAGTCAGGTCAGATTAACAAAAAAAAACTTGTTAAATCTAATTCGTTGCTATCTCTACTCCATACTGCTAAAATTCAATGAGATTATATAAATAGAGCGTCAAAGCAACCCAACAAGAAGAAGAAATATAGTAGAGATGAAATACAACTGATAAATTTGGCTCACACTCGATTACTTGAACTAATTTATTTAATTCGAGACTCGATATAGATCTGAATATGATGATCTAAATTTAATTTAAAACCCGAATAAATTGAACTGTACCGAAACCAATCCAATTTTAATGAGACCATACGAACTCAAACTGAAACAACCAATTTATTTAATTCATTGTGACAAATAATTTTAAAACTTACTAAACCAGTTTTATTTTTGGTACAAAACATTTGATAAAATGAAGGATGGAAAGATCAAATAAGGTACATTGACCATATTAAATTATCTTATCAAATAACAAACAAACCGGGTTTTCTTAATTAATCTTAACAGTTGTATTTTATAATTTAAAGATTAATAGTAATTTTACTTTGCCAAAAAAATCTAAACACCCAAATTCAAAATGGTCAAAGAAATAGAACGAAAACAAAAAAAATATTATCTAACTTTGACACCTAATATCTAATTAGGGTGCAACTTATACAGCCAAAGGCTAAGAACTTAATAGAAGACTTTAATTTTTGCCCAAAAATAATTAAAGAACTTTAATACTATTAAACGTACTAAACGTAGCAATTTGCACACTTTAACAGAATTGAGATCAGATCATTGAAAGAAGACTTTATTTACATTGGAATTTTTTAATTACTCCATCAATTTAGAATACAAATCAATTAAAATTGCAATTTGTTTTTGAATAAGTCAATATTTTTAACCCAATTTAATGATTGGGCATCATTCCTAGAAGCTACATTCTAGTGCTCTATGAATGTTTTAAGTTTAATTCAAGGGTAGGCTACCCTAATGCTCATTGAAAATTTAGAATTCTTGTACTTTTGTTATCCAAATCGAAATCTTTTATTAGTCACTAAACTTAAGGGATGATTTCATTTCAGTCACTACCAAGTTGTTGTTAATGTCAGTGACCAAAATGAAATCACTTTTAAGTTCAACGATTCCATTGAAAGTTTTTCGATTAGGTAAAAATTTACAAAAGCCCTAAAAGTTTAGTAACCATTAAGTGATTTATCCTAAAATAAATGTAATTAATGTTAATAGTAATTTAATTTAAATATTTAAGGTAATGAAATATTTGTCTATTTTTTTATCTGATTACAAGAATTTCAATTACAATTTAACCTAAATATTACTTTTATTAATTATATAACGACTATCCAATAAGGCTCACTTGTTGGGCAAAATTGGTCCAGTAGGCTATACGGGGTAAAACAACTGCCCATTACGTCATCCTCAAAATTAATTTGAGATCTACTGTATCTATTACAATGAACTTGAAACTTATCACGTTGGCATTATTAAAACTAGTCACTTTGATTGACAAATTCTAATAAAAATTATAATTTTTAAGATTTGTCATGTTGACGTGACGAGTTTAAATAAAAAATATTATTTAAAAAAACTCATCAAGTAGGCGTGATGAGTTTTCTCTACACTGTAACATCTACCGTAAATCCAAATTAATTTTGGAAATAATTTTAATAGATTAATGTTTTTCCCCGTATGACCTATTAGGCCAATTTTATCCCACTTGTTAAGCATTGAATCCCAAACCTAAGACTCTTATAAAGGAAGTTAGGTGCAATGGTTAACCATTGGATCCTGAACATGGGACCCATGTAAATAGCAAGGATCATGTAGTTGTTAAATAATTAATAAAATGGTAAATTACATGGATCATCATTGTACTTTGCTCTATTTCCTATTTCACTCACTGTACTTTAACACTGGTCAATTTCATCACTGAACTTAATATAATTAACAAATTTGGTCACTCGGCCGTTTCCCCCACTAACAGTTGTTTCCCGTACTCCCACCACTATCGTCTCAAGCCTACCTGGACGATGATAGGCGATGGAAAAGGGGCATTACCACCTGGGTTTCAGTCGGAACTGGGCAAAGGAACACAGTGGTGAAGGCGGTGAGGTGCAACGACGATGGAATCGGCCGAAAATTGTAAAAATTAGAAGCGATGACGAGCTTATTTCTCACAATTTATGACATTTTGACGATCGATTTTGGGTAGCTAGTGGTTGGGTCTTACTCGGGAGGTGACATCGGAACTGCTGGCGGCAACAGTGCAAGCCAGCGTTGGCCAGAGGCAATGGTTCAAAAGGGAAATGGGTTTTTGGAAACGATCTTTAGTTGAGAAACGACCGAGTGACCAAATTTGTCAATTATATTAAGTTCAGTGATGAAATTGACCAGTTTTAAAGTACAGTGAGTGAAACAGGAAATAGAGCAAAGTACAATGATGATCCGTGTAATTTACCCTTAATAAGATAATATTTAAGTTACATTATAGCTAAAGATAATTATATTTATTTTGAAAAATATTAATTATAATAAAATTTAAAACAATGAGTATTATTTTAGGATATACTATAATAATAGTCACTAATTTTTAGTCGGAGTTGCTGAACTTAAGAAATAATTTTATTTTGATCACTAATATTAATATCACATCAGTTGTCGTTAACGAAAATGATCTAAATAAAAACATTCCTTTAGTTTACCGACTCTAATGACGGTTTTTGGATTTCAATGATTGAAATAAAAG